TAGACAAACACAGTCTTCTGATTGATGGTTGTTTCTCACTGAACGTTAGTTAATCTTTCATCTCTTTGTGGCTGTTTCTTGAAGGTCAGATCATCTATCTATCAGCTAATTGTATCCGCCTATGTAAACAAACTGTGCTGTGATTGGTTGTTAGTTGAGTCAGTCAGTCTTTGTTCTTGTTTTCCCATGACCAATATTTGGGAGATAAACATTGACGTAAATTACTGTCTACCAATTTTCGGCTAGCGCAGACAGCTCTCACCACACTAGTGCTTCCGATTTTTCCTGGTCCTCTTTGATTGTGTCGTCACTTCTGGATGCTTTATTTTTGAGCTTCACGTACGAAAATATTTTCTTCGGCTAGGCGCATTTCCCACTGATAAATTCCCCGCAATAAAGGAGCTTTACAACTTTCTTGCCTCAGAAGTTCCAAATTAGGTCAAGATTTTCTAGCCTTTACGCTCTCTATGTTAAGATATCTTTAATTACCATTAAACAGTGTGTGTGTGCTAAGGAATAATTGCCTTACGTATATTTATTGTAATAATTATGAATATTTTTCAGATATATACGTATCACAGGAAAAAAAATCAATTTTAGTATCTTATAAGTACAGGCATTTGAAGAGACCAAACGCAGGAACAGCACACTTCTCTTATCCAATTCTTTTTCAGTGGAATATACTGATTACTAGTGACTTTTGAGTGTGATTACAGATGATCCTAAAAGACCCAACTGAGCAGACGGAGCTCCAGCTAACTAACTTATTGAAAAAAAATGAAAGATGAATCGATTATTAATACAGAACCCAAATGAACAACTTCGCCCATCTGGTTCTACATCGCCACGAATGTGTATGGACTACCCAAAGTGCACAAAAAGGAGGAGGTCCCACTCCGCCCAATATTATTATTATTTATTATTATTGTTCCCTTGGGTTCCTAGTGGAACATAGGGCTTCAACTGCACGTCTCCACTTGTTTCTGTCTTCTGCTGTACTTTTCACTTGCATCCATGTTAGTCCATACTGTTTCAACTCTTCTTCACACGATCTCCTCCATGTCACCCTTGGACGTCCCACTACTCGCCGCTTCCCTTTCGGGTTCCACTCGAGCGGTGGCCTGACGCGCGATGTCACCAGCAGCGGCCTCCTCAGCGAGTGTCCAATCCATCTCCACTTTCTCCTGCATATTTCTTGGGCGATTGGTTCTTGTTTCGTTTGTTTGTTCCCATAGTTTCTTGTTGGTTCTTGTTCTTTCCGGCCATCTGATCTTCAGTATGATGCTAGCGAAGACAGTTGTTGTTGATAAAGGTCTGCAACAGGCTGTTGGAAATATTCTTTGTGACCCGCCAAGTTTCTGATCCGTATAGAAGAACTGACTGACTTGACGTTTGTATTGAAAATCCGAATTTTGTTGTTGAGTGTTGCTGAGTGACGAAGATTTCCAGATTGGTTTCAGGTTGATGAATGTGTTTCTCGCCTTCCCGATTCTCGATTTGACATCCTCGTCCGTTCCTCGTGTAGTTGAGACAATGCTCCCTAGCTAGATAAGTGAATGAAGTAACCTCTTTCAAATCCCTCCCGTTGATGGTGATTGGCGCTGGATGTTGCTGTTGTTGTTGTTGGTTGGTTGGTTATTTTCATAACCTCCGTCTTGTCTATGTTCACCTGGAGTCCTGTCTTTGCTGCTTCTTCGACCAGTTTGTCGGTTTTCGTTTGTAAGTCTTCGATTTTGTGTGACAAACATAAATCATCCACGCGCGAAATCCAGGTCTTTTGGGTTATTCATGTCGGTGCAGGATATCCCTGTCTTCTCGTTTCCCACTGTCTGACGCATAATCCAGTCCACCACAATTAGGAATATCATTGGTGATAATAAGCACCCTTGTCTCACTCCTGTGTTTACTCCAAACGCCTCACTGAGTTTCCCGTTGTGGATCACTTGACATGTGCCGTTGTCGTACAGCTGTTGAATAAGGTTGATGAATATTTGGGGTATGCCGTACTACTTGAGTAGTTTCCAAATTATTAGATATTAGATATGATTAATTCACCATATCACCTAATCGCGAAGTGGCTGGTAGAAATTCTTGGACCAGTGAAAGAAAAGTTTTGTCGAGATACAACCTCCGCGACATACTCGATTTCATGGATTCAATTAAGAATGTCAACCTCGCAAATAAAAAGATGGTCTCCCTAGACGTCGTCTCCCTCTCTCTCTTCACCAATGTTCCACTGACAGAAACTATATATGTTTTCTGTGTGACTTCACCCAATGCAACAGCATAGATGTCGGCATACCGATCCATTATCTAAAGGAGCTGTTACTACGTTGTACCTTTCAAAGTCTACCTCAGATTCAACGATGAAATCTATAGGCAAACAGATGGCGTAGCAATGGGCTCTGCACTCGGACACTTCCCAACCGACTGTTTTATGGCCAGCCTCGAAAACAACCCCCTTATCATCAATTATCTACGACCTTAATCTCTACAAGAGATACATCGATGATACTTTCATCATTTGTGATGAGAATTGTGATTTTTAAAAAACCTACTCTACGCTTGAGACTGAATCCGACGGAATGTTTCACTTCCTCGACGTCCATCTGACAAGAAACGCCGACAACTCTCTGAAAAGGTCCATATACAAAAAGCCTACATGGAATGGACAACTCATCAACTTTCAAAGCTTCGTGCTCCTAAGCAGAAAGAGGAACCTGATATACGCCGTTTCCTCGAGGATTCGGAAGATATGCAGCGAGGAAGTGATTGATGAAGAACTGTGGAAAACGGTTTTTTTCCGCCCAGGTTCACAGACAAGAATCTCAAATCTAAGAAGACTTCCGAACAAGTCCAATCCGTTCCAAAGAAAATACTTCTGCTTAATCTAGAAGTCAAAAGTGACATTAAAGCAAAAATCCTTCGTAAACGCCTCTACAAATCTCTCAGGAAGACATACTTCGCCGTGAGCCTAACACTAACGTTTTCCTGCAAAAAACTGTTCAACTAGAACGCGAAAGACAAGCTGTCGTATTAGACCACTTCAACGGGCATATACCAGTTTACTTGGTCTTGCAGAGCTGAATACATCAGCGGTACCATGAGCCAACTTGAAAAACGCGCTCGTGAACACTATCCAGTATGGCTAGTAAAAGGAGAACGAAAATGTGTGTATATAGTTCAGTGACAGAACATCTGGTCAATTCAAGACATTCAGCGCCATTCGAAAAATCCTTCAAAATAATATACAAGATTCGATCAAACCTATCAAAGGGAGTAAAATTAAGACATCTGGGCATAGCCGAGGCAATAGCCATCCAAAACCTCAAACCCACGCTATGTATCCCTGCCATGGCCATCACAAACAGGTAAATCTTTCAGTAATGACCATCCCTTCGCCTTTCTTATCTTAACTTCCTGTTTATTCATGTTATTTTAAGTTTTTCTCTTAATCCCTCCTATTTACACTACCATATTTTCATATCCGAACTTCCTGTCTATTTTGTCATTTTATTATTTCTACATTATTATTATTATTATTGTATCCTTTAATTCCAAGAGGAACATAGGGCTTCAGCCGTGGGTCTCTATTGCGTTCTGTTCTCTGATAGAGTCTTCACCTGCCTCTATGTCTGCCCACACGTTTTCATCTCCTCTTCACATGACCTCCTCGAAGTCACCCTTGGACGACCAACTCGCCGCTTCCATTTCGGGTTCCACTCGAGCAGTGGCTTGTCTAGTGATGTCACTTGATGGTTTGTTTTCTGCCTCAGAGGATGGCCAGCCAATCCACCTCCATTTCTTCCTGCTTATTTGTTGCACAATCGGTTCCTGCTGTGTTGGTTCACTCCCAGAGATCTCTGTTGCTGATCTTCTCTGGCCATCTGATCTTGAGTGGTATTGAGCGGAGACAAATAGCTCTTGATGAAGGTCTGTAGTTTGTTTGAGGTGCTGTTTATGAGGCGCTTGCCAAGTCTCTGATCCGTATAGTGAGTAGCACTGACTGACTTGACATTGGAGTTGAAAATCCGGATCTTATTTTTGATCCTGAGTGTTGTTGACCTCCACACAGACTTGAGAGTAGTGAAAGCTTGTCTAGCTTACCCGATTCTCGCTTTGATATCCTCGTCATTTGCGTTGGCCTGTAGTTGAAACGATGCTTCCCAGGTAGGTAAAAGAGGTTGTTTGTTTCAGGTTCCTCCCATTTATGCTGATTGTTGTCAGTTGTTTTTTTTGCTGTTGGTGGTGTTGCTCAGGAATCTTCATCACCTCTGTTTTCTCTATGTTCAACTGAAGTCCTATCTTTGAAGTTTCTTCTGCTAACTTGTTGCTTTTCGCTTGCATATCTTCCAGTTTGTGGGAAATCAGACATCACATCGGCGAAGTCCAGATCCTCCAAGTCTCTTTTTGTGTGGGTCCATTTTATGCCTGTTTCCCCATTGCCCGCTGTTTGTCGCATTATCCAGTCTACTGCAATCTACATATTTAATCCCGAACTGCATAAACAATTATTCGTCAGATTAGTTATGATCTCACTAGATTTTGTTATCAAAACATCCTGTCTATCTATTGTTGTTATTTCTACATTTCTAACCCCTAATTGCACAATCATTGTCAATGCCTTCCCAGTAATCATGATGCTACGCTTTGTCTGAGCTTTATTTGTCCCACTACCCTGTTTATTATGTCATTTTATTTCCTGTTATAGCTGTAATTCTATTAATCTGACCTTTGACCAGAAATTATTCTGAAACTTTCCCACCCATTTATTATTATAAATACTCGAATGTACAGCTCTATCCAGTTGATGATTTCCTTGCTGCAACTACCTTTTTTTATTATTCCCTATGATCAAGTATGATTATCATCAATATATATTATCGATTGTCTTGTATCAAGGTCATGACAATCAATATATTTTAAAAAATAATATTATCAAAAATTTAGTAGTAATAGTTTGACACACACACAGTATATCTCTGGAGAGCTAGACAAAAATGTTGAATAGTAATAGTGCTCCAAGCAGCCTGAGTGAATCTTGCTATGAAAGTAGAACAGCTCGAGAAATTCTCATGGGTATTGATAACAACTTTTCACGTGCTGTTGGCCTATTAAACAAATATATGCCACACAATGATGATAATGCAGATGAACTCTCTGATTCTAACCAGAATAAAGCTTTCGGTACAGATTCAAAATCTTCCCCGAGTCAAGGAAGAAGTGGAGGTGGTACTGCTGAGTACGTGGAGGAAAAGCGACCGGATTTCTCTCGAACACTTAGATCAGAAGATCCAAGTAGTCAAATTAGTCTGCCGAATTTTCCTGTTCAAAAATATCCATCGAAAATTGCATCACAAATTGATGATGATTATTCTTCTAAAGGAACACCTCAATCAATACCGACGGATATATCGGTGAATGTAAACGGAGTACCGCCTGGTGCTGGTGTGGATGACCTCGACGACGACGACGATGATGACTATGATGTTGATGGCCAACGTAAAGTCACAAAAGGACCCTTTTCATCACATATATACCGATATTCATTGGCAGATGCATCTGCCTCTAGAGATTTGGATAATGCTACTCCGAAGACGATTGCACTATGCCGGCGTTATCCGTGTCACTATTGCTTTTATGTTTATTTTCCATCAACAACCGTGAGTTATGCCTATGTCTCCCTTTTTGATTTTGGGAATTGTGTATTAAAACAAGCAATAAAGCAGGTTAATAAGGCAGGATGATGATTTAATTAATGAATTCATCAAATTTCGGTAGAACTCGTCCGTCAGCGGCTCAGTACTCTACATACACGGATATAAACATACATACTTTTGAAATTACATTGAGAGATATAAGACTGATAAGTAAACAAACTACATTGAATTAGTCATTCAGAAAGACAGGTATGAATGTTTTCCAGGTCATGTTCAAATAGGTATGGGAAGGAAGGGAGTATGAGAGATCAAAATTAAGATAAAATGCATTACGCTTCAATTACACATCACTTAGATAAACAATTAGTCATTAGAGAATATATCAAGAATTGCAGATAGAGTAATATCAATAGTAATAACTATAATAATAACAATAATAATAATAGTGTTGAAGTGAGTTAAGATAATCCTACTGATTAGGGGATAGTTTTAAATGAATCAAGAATAATAATAAGATATATATATATATATATATGTCCAAACCAAGTTCACTTTTAACAGTTTGAAAAAATTTGGGATTTGGGTGGTATATGATATTCATTATAATAAAGGTTTTTGTATTTCCCAATGAATGAAAAACAAAACGATATTGTTGTTTTCACTGACGTTTCGCTATTTAATGCTAATAGCTTTATCAAAGCAGTGTTATTAAACCGGAATTTACAAAATCCATTCAGCATATATATAACAAAGAGTTAAGAGGTGGGCGAGAAAATAGGCTTGACTACTTAGGTCAAGTTAAAAGGAGGACATATTGAAAGGGAAAATAACAATGAAGATGAATGACTAAACCAAATAACAGAGGTAATAGTACATCTGCACTGGCTGGTATCAAAACAAAGTTTACTAACTTGATCATTGTTCGTTAGTCTGGGGTCATTTTCCGTTGTCAAGTTGGTCATTTGGTAAAGATAAAAATATCAAGTGTAGATTGTTGGATTTGATGAGTGTGTAAAATTATAAAAGCAGTGTGTGTTTACATAGTGAAATTGCATATCACATTCGTGTTGATTTTGTCACTTCATAGGGGAAGGGTTGAGGGTGTTGTAACCAGGTCAGATTCTGTTTTAGTCCATCATTCCTATTCAGTTCAGACAATTTGGATTCCACTTGATATGAAGTGCTTCTGATGATATGAGACGTTCTTTGTGATTTCTGAAGTTTTTCTGGATGACGATTTCAATATTGTCAAAATCAATTTTGTGGCCTGATTCTATAGCGTAGTGTGTAGACAAGCTATGGCTGGTTGATGATTTTTCAAGCTTTTCTAGTTCAACCGGATTTATTTCTCGGTGGTCGAACAGATGCTCACTCTACGGTGTTCATTTCTTCTGATTTTGATTTCTCTCTAGCGATGTTTGTCCGATGTATATCGCATCACATTCCAAGCATTTTATTTTATAGACACAATTAGATAGAGAATCTTTAGGGATTTGGTCTTTTATATGGACAAGTTTGTTTCGCAGTGTGCCTGTCTGATGTTTTGAAGAAAACTCTAATGTTGAGCTGATTGAGTACTCTTCTGATATCGTCTGACGTCTCTGCTCTGTATGGAATGACGACTGTTGAGGTCCATGTTTTCGGAATGCGTTTTCGACCATACTTAATGTCAGTGTTGATTTTGTTGATGAAGTTCCTTGGGTAGTTGTTTTGCTTGAGGAGAGTTTCAGTAATGTTTGATATTTCTTCATCTTTTTCTTTCTCACCCGTTAACATCAGAGAGTGTGCTCGTCTAAGAAATCTTCGCACTGATGGGGTTTTATGATCTGAAGTCTAAATATTTATGGATATGCTAAAATGTCCGTTTTCCTTTCTCTTAACTAGGCAGTCTAGAAATGGTAGTTCACCGACGTCTGATTCTGCTTCCGAAGTGAACTGGATTCTGGGAGATACACAATTTATTTTCGCCAGGAATGAATTGTGTACTATTAGCATTAAATAGAGAAACGTCACTGAAAGCAACAATATCGTTTTGTTTTTCATTCATTGGGAAATACAAAAACCTTTATTATAATGAATAATAATAATAGGTATATATATATACTTTTGAAATTACATTGGGAGATATAAGACTGATAAGCGAGCAAATAAACTACATTGAATTCGTCATTCAGAAGGATAGGTGCGAATGTTTTCCAGGTCATGTTCAAATAGATAAGGGGAGGAATGGAGTATGAGAGATTTAAAATTAAGATAAATTGCATTCCACTTGTGGACTACGGACATGATATCGACGCTGTCATGTTATTCCCACTGTTATTGTCAGCAGACAAAGAAACAGGAAGATGCTTGCAATTGCCGAGGAGGCTTGTGCAATTCGAGTTTATAAACCAGGTCTCTGTGTACAAAAGGCGATCGATGGTCGTCACTCTGAATCTACCATGGTAATATGTTTTACTTTTTATTCTACCTCTTATTATTATTATTATTCTTGATTCATTTAAAACTCTCCCCTAATCAGTAGCATTATCTTAACTCACTTCAACACTATTATTAGTATTTATATTATTATAACTATTACTATTGATATTACTCTGTTTGCAATTCTTGATATATTCTCTAATGACTAACTGTTTATCTAAATGATGTAATTGAAGTGTAATGCTATTTATCTTAATTTTGATCTCTCATACTCCCTCTCCGCTTATCTATTTGAACATGACCTGGAAAACATTCACACCTTCTTTCCGTATAACTAATTCAATGTAGTTTATTTGCTCACTTATCAGTCTTATATCTCCCAATGTAATTTCAAAAGTAAATATATCCGTATATGTAGAGTACTGAGCAGCTGACGAGTTCTACTGAAATTTGGTGAATTCATCAAAGTATCCTGCTTTATTAACCTTTATTGCCTGTTTTAAATTCCTATAGGGAAATAAATGTTTTCAATAGTGTATTATCTAATTTTTAAAATTATCTAATCCATCTATGTTTTAGTTCATAAGAATTTGTTAGTCTTGATGATTTTGACTGGCTTTTTAAGGGGATTTAATACCATGGCTAAATATTTAGATAATTTATAAGTAGGTGAATTTTTAAAATCAACTATAGGTTTGTCTAATAGGGTATCCTGACTTATGAACTTTAACAACACCATACATCCTACTGGAGTTATTAGCTTTGGGCATTAAATTAAACCATTTAGACTCACCTAGAAACGGCTTCATTCGGCGTATAAGGTCCGCTGTGGATTTCTTAACTTTATTCATAACTGTGTCTATTGATTTATTAATTTCCTCATTTGGTCCTGTTTGTATGTGAGTATTCACCTTGTCCAAATAGTCTGATTTGTCTAATACTACTGTTGCATTTCCTTTGTCTGACTTTGTGATTACTATATATCCTTGTTATTCTTAAGGTGTTTCAAGGCTTCTATCTCTGGCTTTGTCAGGTTAGGCTTTCCACATTTTTGTTGTTTTAATGCTAGTGCACATTGTGCCCGTACTTCGTCGGCCGTTGTTTTGTCTATCCCACACACTTAGTGCTATTTCTATTTTAGGGATGACATCCTCAGATTTCAGCTTGTCTACCGGTACATTGAAATTTAGTCCCTTTTGTCCAATACACTTATTTCTGTTGGACTCAATATATATGTGTTGAGAGATTGATTGATAACCCACTTTGTTTTATCGATCGCTGTTGACTTTGGATTGTTGCCTTTATCGTTCTCATGATGGTGATAATGATTGTTAATTCTTGGCGGCCTGCTTAAATCTTGGGCTACCAAATACCTTATACATTACAAATCATATTGCATCTAATTGCTCATTTCCAATTTATTTTAAATAATTAAATCTTATTCTAATATGTCCTCTAATCGGATTATTTATTCTTGTGAGTATTTAATATCCTTAAAACCTACTGACCGGAAATACCATAAAAAAGACAAAAAAAGCATCACGCCGGGTGGCAAAGAGCCTTAAAAAATACCCCTATTCAATTTATGACTGTTCCTGCAATTATGAGTACTAATTGTCGCTCCCTGCCAGCCAAGCTTAACCGTCTTCAATCACTCGTGTCTTTTATTATATATCGAAATACTGGGATCATATCACTTCAAGAAACATGGCTACATGATCTATACGATGACAATCTAGTGTATCTGAATGATTTCAAATTATTCAGACAAGATCGGTGTAGTTCTAGGAAGAAACGTGGTGGCGGTGTCGCCATCTTCATCAATTCACAATGGTGTACATCTCATAAAGTATGTTTCAAATTCTCTAGTGACAACATTGACTACCTCACCGTTAAATGTCGACCTAAACATTTGTCAAAATATAACTACATATACATCTCGAACATTTATATTGCACCTGGATGCAATTCCACTGAATTGTCTTTATTTGCAGATGAAGTTACCTCCTTTGCTGCCACCTCCTTCGGAAACTCCTTGTCTATAGTTACTGGAGATTTCAATTCTAGTGATCACAGCTTCCTTATTTCACTTGGTCATGATAACATTGTCAACTTCTCGACTCGAATGGATAATATTCTAGATCTTGTGTTTACAAATGACATAGGAATGTTTGAAGCTCGGAAAAGAGCCCCACTACTTAACTCTGATCACTGCATCATAAGAATATTGCCCAAAGTATATGGAAAGCAGCACAAAAGGGTCTTCTCCTACCTTGGAAAGAAAACACAACACAGATGTTATTCACATGACAACATACAGAATCTAAGGACAATGTTAAAAGACACAAACTGGGACTTGTTTACTGAACAAGCTCTCGATAACACAATTAGTAACATAACACATTATCTCATTATTATTTCTAATAGCAAGATTTCTTACAAGGGATCCGTAGTACGCATTACTCTAACACCATTCTAGCAGCTTTTTTTTAAACAGTTACTAGCAGCGTAAATCTTTCGGCAAAGTTCAACAATAGCGTCCCAAGAGTGCGAACGCACACAAGTGACCTTCAGCCGACCAA